GGTGCAATAAAAAATTGGGAACTATTACTGAATTATAATGACATAAACCTACAGATCAAACTAGACTTTAGGAATGATGTCACATGCATTCATTAACATTGGTGCACTCAGCAGAGATGTGGGAGTCTTTTGTTGATTGGAATAGTTGAGAATGGCTCTAATAATTTTTCTGAATTTTTATTTAGCTAAGGGTGCCTGTTGTAATATAAAATAAAATATTAGAATTTCTATGGACACTGAAATGTGTACAAAGGCATAAGAGAAACAAAATGCTAGTGTGGATAGCATTATGAAGCTGTTTTCCTGCCTTCCGTTATTATCAAGACAGTCCAGAGGATACTGGCTGTGCCTTCATATGAGAAATGAACCTGTGAAGACAGCTTTGTGTCATCAGAGAACTATTGGTGCCTTTGCTCAGGCCCAGAACGACAATGCTAACGAGTGCCATCAAAGTTCTTGTGACTCATTTGGATTATGGGGCTCTTAGGGTTTGAGCAGGATAATGTGGTCTTGTGCTTATTATAAAGAAAAAAGAATATAAAAGAGTTCCCAGAACAGTCTGACTTGGGGATATGTTTGGCTTTTTGCTGATTGATCATGGAATCTTTAGGAAGGGAAGATACTCTCCTCAATTTCCCACACATGCCTTTTGACCATGAATCCACCTTCCCACTAGTAATTGGGCATCTTGTTCAGCAATTGCACTCATCTGTGCCAAGGGTTTAGCAACTTACCCAGCATTTACCAGACATTTCAAAATGCAATTCGGTCTTGAACAGAGATCTGCTGTGGAGAGGTAAGTGATGGAGGGCGCAGATTCTAACTCTGTTGAGGCAGAAACCCAGTGGAGATCAGAAGCCTAAGATGGCAAGTGGTAAGTTCTGAGAGAGAATCACAGCTACTTTAGTGAAATTTTTCTTATGCATACATGAGTCCAGAAAACAAGGAATATGCCTGAGACACTGTCTGGCAGTGTCAGTCAGCAAAGACTCGGGAAACAAAGCAAAGTCATCTCCATTTCACAAATGGCTGTGTCTATAAAAACATACCAAGAAGTGTGAATGAGAACATAGATGTGGTATGGGAAATGTTAAGTATTTTTTACTAAATTGCCTAAAAATGCTAAGTTTTGAGGCTAAAATAATAGTTGGTATCAGAACAAACCTCTCGCTATCTTTAAAAAAGCAAAAGCAAAAGCAAAATAGTGAAAGCAAACCCAACCAACTAAACAAATAAAAATCCACCTTAACCCCAAAGTAACCTGACCAAGTGATATCTTCAATTGAAGCTGCAAGAAAACCTCTAGATTTTCCCAAGATTTTATTGCTTTTGAAATTTTTTTCTGCAATATTAAGTATAGTAGAATTTAAGTAAAATATTCCACATTTTTTTCCTACTTCATTGAGTAACTCAAATGAAGAAGAATCATTTACAGACACAGGGTAAGAAAATGGGAATATTACTATATATGGTATTTCTCTGTTCGGTTTGCCCAATACAAAAGTTAAAATAAGTCTACACTGACTGATGAGGTGACAGCAAGCTAAAAGATATTTTTCCACAGCTTGCCTATACTGTGCCGTATCCTTTCATTTCTTATGAATATATTTGGCCCACAGACCTCCCACCAGTTTCAAAGGGATTCCACTATCTAAATATACACCAAGACACGAACATGTGTCCTAGTAAGGAAAACTATGTATTGTCTTATGACATAGTCCTCATGGAGAATCATTCTAAGATATCAGCTATCAATTCTACCTCATTACTTTGAAATGAAGCAACTGTATGATGGTCATTCATGAAGTTGCCAAATCAAGGAATTAAGATCAAGTGTTTTCTTCTTGAATCTGAGTATAAAAGGACGGAAGTTCAAGAGGAGGGCTTGTGTTAATTACAAGATAGGTTTTCAAATAATAAAATATTCTATCTTCTAAATTATAAAAACATAACATTAATTCATTAAATATTTTTAGCCTCAACTATTTGTCTGTAATTGTTGTAGACTAAGAATTTAAAAGTGAACAGCATGTACAGATAAGCTTATTAATATATGGCTTTATGTTTCAGAATGCAAATAATATAGTAGTAACTATAGTGATATCTGTAATATAATATATATATACATATATATATGTATATATTCATGTATAGGTCTTTATCTCTGCATTTTCCTACACTGGTGATGTTTGTGAAGCCCACTTGACTGAGGACAGCAAGAATAAAAGGACATTATAAAACATTAAGTAGGTGGTCTTGGGATCCTTCATCCTTTGGTGATAAGTAAATGTCTGACATAAAGAAGGTAGACATTACAGTCCTGGTGAAAGGAGTTTTGGGGTGTGGTAGAAGCAAGGGCATGTTGTGCTTGGTAGATGGGAAAGAGACAAGCATGGTTGGAGGACAGAAAGGAAAGCAGTGACAGCTGAGGACAGAGACGTTCAAGGGTACAGGTTACTTCAGGCATCATAGGGCATTTTAGGGAGTGGGGCTTTTTTTGCTGAATCAGATGAACGTAACTGGAAGGTTCTGAAGTCACTGGTGATATCGGCTTGGCTATCATTTGGGAAGTATTGCTTTGGTTTCTGATTGAGAACAGAACGGGTGGCAGATTCACTGTGAGAGTGTGCCAGAGAGTAATCCAGGAAAAAGGTGACCACAGCTCTGAGGAGGGAGGTACTGGGCAGTGGAACAAAAATCAGGGTTTGAAATTAGATATTGTAAAATTTGTTGATGAATTGAACAGGAGCATGAGAAAATGAGGATTAAAGGTGACTCCAGTGTTTTGGAAGGATGGAAAAAGGATGGAATGGGACAGGGTTTGGAAAGTACAAGTTAAAAGGAAGTTCCACCTGAGATGTGTTAAGTCCACAAGACACTCAGATGCTGTGTTAATTTAGCATTGAGAGAGAGAGAGAGACTCGGGAGGCAGAGGCAGGAGGATCTCTGTGAGTTCGAGACCAGCCTGGTCTACAGAGCTAGTTCCAGGACAGGCTCCAAAACCACAGAGAAACCCTGTCTCAAAAAAGAGAGAGAGAGAGAGAGAGAGACAGAGACAGAGAGAAAAAGAATTCTTCGCTACAAATATAAATATAGGATCCAGACGCATGCATGTATACAGATGCACACATGTGTACATACAGAGTTTATGATAGGAAGCTGTAAGAAAATGAGAGTATGTGCTTGTAGAGTATGTATACGTAGTTACTTTTTTGCATTGTCATGAATAAAGTACTCAACAGAAACTACTTACAGGAAAAAGGAATTATTGGTTCACTGTTTCAAAGAGTATGGTGCATCATGGTGGGGAAGGCCTTGCAGAGTTCAGAGTGGTGGGACTATGTGTTGGTGACCCTTCACACCCATGGCAGAACTCCAGCGACAGAAAGTAATACAGAAAAGTAGTATGGGGATTTCCATTGGATCTCTCTTGGCCAACAACTCAACTGAATGCAACCGATTCCCAGTTCTGGAGGACTCATTTGGTGACAGGAGACGGACAGCCCAGGCTATTGCTTAGTCAGTGGGTTGCTCCCCACAAACTGACTGTGGGCCCCATTGCTGAGGACAACACCCACACCACTCACTGAACATGGGAACGTTGAGCTGGAGCCTACAAGGAGTCTTTACCCCTATGAGCTAGTGCCTTTGATGTGGGCAGGTACTCTGCAGGCTACAAAAAGAGAAACTTAAACACCTACCCAGCTAAAGAACCTATACCCCTCCAGAAAGGATTTGATGTTGTTTGCTTTATGAGTACAAAGAGGTGCCTACAGTGCCTGCTATGGTTTGAATAGGATAAGAGAGTGTCCCCAGAGAGTCATATGAAGACATTTAATTATCATTGTGAAGCATTCAAATGACTGGAAACTTAATTCCACTCTAGTGTTTAGAGGGTAGTGTTAGAATAGTGATAGAATAGGATCCCCTAGTGACATTCCAAGGAGAAAGAATACAAGAATATTTGCACCCACAGTTTTGTTCTCTTTCATCCCATGGCATCTTGGGCTACCTTGAAACTGCCAGTAAGAAGGCCACCACCTGATGCAGACCTTGAATCAGAATCTTGAACATAACGGAGCTCCTTTTCAATGGAAGCAATCAGCGTCAAAGGCTAGACTCAACATGTAGAGAGCTTACCATGCCCACAGTGCAAGTAGGAGAGCCTGGATTTGACCCCCAAGGAACCAAAGGTTTATTTTGTTTTATTAGGTTTTCAAGTTGGACATGCTGGCACGTACTTCTCATTCCACTTCTGGTAAGATTGAGCTGGACTGAAGCTGGGGTCTCGATGGCTGACCAGCTAGTCTGCTTAGAGCCTGAGGTCCCTGAGAGAACCTGCTGGAAGGCACTTAAGGAGGGGCACCCAAGGGTGTTTCCTGGCTCCTTCCTGCACACTCACAAGCATGTGTTCTCCCACCACAAAACAAGTTACACAGTTTCAGGGTTTTAGTTATAGAACAAAAAGCATGCATATAGTCCTTCAGGTCAAGCTGGAGCAAGTCTGAGAGGTCCTTCTATTGTCAGCCCTCCCTCTAAGACTGAGGGGAGCAGTTGTCATTGCATTTAAATTCAAAATTTTCCTTTGCGTAATCCCATTATCTTCATTCTCCACAGTTGCTTATATTTAGAAAATTTTCCAAGAGGTTGTGGGAACATTTCAGAATCTGCTTTCCGAAGAACCCACATAGCTGCAGTATTTCAATAAAATATTCTGATTATAGTTGTTTTTCATTAGTTATCAAAATGCAGTGAGATTTACATGCATCAACCTTTTAACATTTCCGTATTCATGTTTTATCTTCATATAATTTTGATCATATATATATATATATGCAGGCATCTGTGTGAGTCATAATCATTTGGTTCTTTTTCTAGTCATTATCTTTAGTGATTTCTTTCTCCTTTTAAAAAATTAAAATAGAAAAGGGAAGCGAAGCCGGAGCTGCGGGCGCCTTTTCGGCCCGCGGTGTCTGAGATTCATTCTTAAGGAACTGAGAACTTAATCTTCCAAAATGTCAAAAAGATCATCTTATGCCCCACCTCCCACCCCAGCTCCTGCAACACAAATGCCCAGCACACCAGGGTTTGTGGGATACAATCCATACAGTCATCTCGCCTACAACAACTACAGGCTGGGAGGGAACCCGGGCACCAACAGCCGGGTCACGGCGTCATCTGGTATCACGATTCCAAAGCCTCCAAAGCCACCAGATAAGCCGCTGATGCCCTACATGAGGTACAGCAGAAAGGTCTGGGACCAAGTAAAGGCTTCCAACCCTGACCTAAAGTTGTGGGAAATTGGCAAGATTATTGGTGGCATGTGGCGAGATCTCACTGATGAAGAGAAACAAGAATATTTAAACGAATACGAAGCCGAAAAGATAGAGTACAATGAGTCTATGAAGGCCTATCACAATTCCCCTGCATACCTTGCATATATTAATGCAAAAAGTCGTGCCGAAGCTGCGTTAGAGGAAGAAAGTCGACAGAGACAGTCTCGCATGGAGAAAGGAGAACCTTATATGAGCATTCAGCCTGCTGAGGATCCAGATGATTATGATGACGGCTTTTCAATGAAGCATACAGCTATCGCCCGTTTCCAGAGAAACCACCGCCTCATCAGTGAGATCCTCAGTGAGAGCGTGGTCCCTGATGTGCGGTCGGTTGTCACAACAGCCAGAATGCAGGTCCTCAAGCGACAGGTCCAGTCTTTAATGGTTCATCAGCGAAAACTGGAAGCCGAACTTCTTCAGATAGAGGAGCGACACCAGGAAAAGAAGAGGAAATTCCTGGAAAGCACGGATTCCTTTAACAATGAACTTAAAAGGTTATGCGGTCTGAAGGTGGAAGTAGACATGGAGAAAATCGCAGCCGAAATTGCACAGGCAGAGGAGCAGGCCCGCAAAAGGCAGGAGGAGCGGGAGAAGGAAGCAGTGGAGCAAGCCGAGCGCAGTCAGGGCAGCATTGCCCCTGAGGAAGAGCAAGCAACGAACAAAGCTGAGGAGAAGAAGGATGAAGAGAGCATCCCTATGGAGACAGAGGAGACACACCTGGAAGAAACAACAGAGAGCCAGCAGAATGGTGAAGAAGGCACATCTACTCCTGAGGACAAGGAGAGTGGGCAGGAGGGGTTGACAGCATGGAGGTGGAAGGGACCAGTGATAGCAATACTGGCTCAGAGAGCAACAGTGCGACAGTAGAGGAGCCGCCCACAGACCCCATGCCAGAAGACGAGAAGAAGGAATAAATGTTGCCTTGTTTTATGTGTCCTAAAACTTTTTTAAATGGAAAAAAAAATGTTTTTTGGTTTAAAAAAAAATAAAAAATTAAAATATAGTTATATCATTTTCCCTGTTCCCTCCATTCCCTCAGATGTCTCCCTTCCGCGTGCTCACAGGTCCCTCTCAAACCTATGACATCTTACTTTTTATTTATTATCTATATTTATACCTATATTTGTGGGGCTTGACACCTTCCTATTGTTGGCAGTGGCCAAGGAGGCCAGAGGAGGGCTTTAGCAGGTGCGGAAGTGGAGTTACAGATAGGGGTAAGTCACTGTAATGGACACAGTTCTCTGTAATTGCAAATAGTGCTCTTATCTGTTAAGCCGTCTCTCCAGCACCCAGTTTTACTCCCTTTTGACTCTCATGTGTAAGAAAATGTTTTTCATAGTGTTACACATGAAATATTTTCTTGTACTTTCTAAAATGATTATAATTTCCTCTCTTAAATTTTTTGTTTGGAAATTAAAAGATAATTACATCACTTTCCTCTTCATTTCCTCCCTCCTCTCCTTCACATCTATCCCCCAGCCCCAGTTCTCTTTCCAATTCATGGTCGCTATTTCTTTAATTTTTGTTGCAGAAACATGTACATGTACACATATCTATATGTATTCTTTAATGTATATCTACAACCTGCTCAGAATATGTAACGTTACTTGATTGCAAATGGTTTCAGGGATGATCAATATGGCTACCTAAACATGACCTAAACAATAGACACGCTAGCACAGAAGGGGCATACTCCATGGGCCTTCAACTTAGACAAGGAACTACAGGTAACCAAGGATTCCTGAGAGCAGCAGAAATAGTCTTCTCCAGGGAAGAGATCCAGAACTGGTTATAAACCTCTTCTTCTATTATTTTAATGTGGTGAAATGTCTGATTAATTTTTAACTGTTTAAGATACCCATTTATTCCCCTCCCCTGGGCTCCATATTCTGGCCTACAACTCAGGCTGCTTCAAGGGAGGTGTGCTTCAAGGGACCCAATGTAAGACACCACCCAACCACCCACTAACATTCCTTAAAGCCTGCCTACCAACTCCGGACTGCACCCCTCTCCTGGGCTTGCTCTATATTCTGGTCCACAACTCTGGCAGAAGACTTCTGCTTTACTGGAGACCAGGCCAGTTCTACTGACCAGAGGCAAGACAGTGCCCACTGCCAGCTAACCTTCCCTAAAGCCGGTCTAACAGCCCCCAACTGTACCTCCTCCCCTAAGCTCCATATCCCAGCCCACGACTTTGGCAGAAAATTTCTTCTTTACAGGAGGCCATTCCCTACTAGGATCCCAGAGATCAAGCAGTACCTAGAACCCCAGAGGTCATACAGATACTTGGAACCACAAAATCAAAGTTGGAATTCAAAACCCAAAGGTCTTGCAGGCCCCCAAAGCCCTGAGTAGACATTTTACGCTACGTGAAGACTCACTAGTCACCAGAATCACTGGCCATTTAGGCCAGAGACCAGAGAGGAAAGAGAAAGCAAAACCACCCACCCAAGACAAATTCAGGAATCAACATCTGGGCCTATAATTATCCCAAACCCAGATGCCTAAATGCCAGCATAAGAATAAAATCAACAACAGAAAGGGTAATATGGTACCAGCAGATCCCAGTTATTCTATAACAGTAAGATCTAAACATACCACTAGAGTTGAAACACCAGAAAATGACCTTAATACCCATTTCTTGGGTTTATGATAATAAGCATGTGCCAGCATATCTGGAGATATTTTAAAAATTTGTATTCATATATATCCTAACAAATCAGAAAGTAAAACTGTATTATAGTAAAAGTATAGTTGATTGATTTTGGGGGAATAAATACATATACCAACCACAAATAAAACAGAAAACTTTTCTGTCACTCTTAAAAGGTACCTGTGTGTAACTTATCTAGTTTCTTCTCTGGTCCTGAAATTGTGGCTGATGTTTATTGTACTTTGCTGACCCATGTGGCATGGAATTAGACTTGATAGCATGTCTTTGGTTTCCTTTGCTTTCCAGAATACTCTTCAGGTTCATGCACATCATCATCATGTGTGTAAGGAGCTGGCTTCTTATGGTGAGGTCATTACTGTGTGAGCCAGCTACAATGTTTTCTGGTTTTTTTTTAAATAGGTGAACATGTAAGCAATCTCCCTTTTGAACAATTATGAGTAATGCTGCCTTGATGTAAACTCAGCTTCCTTAGTGACATGTGCTTTAATTAATCTTAGCTAACACAAGCAGAATCTTTGAAAATGGTGACAAGATTAATTCCATATGAAGCTGCCTTCCGAAAGCAATACCACTGTGTGCCTCTCCAGCAGCATATAAAATAGCTGCTTTGCATTTTAGTTACTGTCATGGTTATTTATTTATTATATTCATTAGTGAATTTAAACTTTTTACCACTCTGGTAACAATGGGGTGGTTTCTCGTTCTAGCTAAATTTTTAAGGGCCCTTCGTAGCTAAACCCTTAGCATAGGGTCCAGTCAACACGTCTATCTTCAATGTCTACCGGTCAGCTGATCGCCATGGAGCCCCAGGATGATCCTGGAGGAGCCTCTGTACTCCAGAGGGTGTTGAAAGGAGCTTCCTAACTGGGGATAATTGCGGTCCCCCAAATACTATTACTCCTGTATTCTTTAATTCTCTAATGACTACTTTTATGGCAGATGAGAAAGCTAAGGCAGAATGAACTTGTACAAGTTGCCCATACTCCGAGAATTAATAAGCTCAATTAATTAATAATTAATAAGGTCTAGAGCTCAAGGCCAGGGTTCATGGCTGTAAATACGTGCTCAACTTTAGTCTGAAGTTGAACTGATAAAATGTTTTTAGATCTCCCGTTTCAAACACTGAGCAACATCTCTTCAGACTCTTATTTCTCAAGGCTGGTATGTGGCACACTCCCCTGTTATCCTAGCCCATGCGAGGCTAAGGGAGGATTACCAAATCTGCGGCCAGTCTGGGCTATATAGTAACTTACAAACTAGGCTGGGCTTCTGAGAGAGACCCCATGTCAAAAACAATGGTCACCAAAAACAAGCCACCAAAAAAAAAAAAAAAACAAAAAAACAAAAACAAAAACAAAAAAACAAAAAACAAAAAAAAAAACCATGAACCCTTATTGATTTTGATCAATTCATGAATTTCCTGGATTGTTGGATGCCTTGTGTCACTTCTTGTTTTGCTAGTTAGTACTGAATAAATAAGTTGAAATTTACTCCATTGTGACAGTTCCTGGCGGCACCATGCCAAGCAACTCTGATGATGTATGACTCAGTAAATGGTACCCAAAGTGGTTGGATAGGGTGAGTACAGGATGTTGTGATGGAGCTGAATGTGCTCCGAGTGTTCATGAATGGATACACTGCACCTAAGTAGGTCAACTACACTCTTGTCCCCTTCCCAAAGATGCAGAAATTGTTCTAATATTCATCCTGTAGTAATTAGCATTGAACATCTGTGTTCAACCTTCTGTTCTCAAACCAACGATCTTGTTATGGGTCAGAGAAAATGGCTGTAAGTTACTAGTGGTGGCTGATGTGTGGCACGGAGCCCAGCTCGCTGATTTACTCTTGACTTTTGAGCCCCATCAGAATTTGGGGGACTTAGCAGAATTTCTCTTCTATTTAGTTCCACTAGTAATGAGTTTTCTGCTGTCAGCAAAATGTTCAATAGCCATATTCTATAGCATCCACTGAAATCTCTGCTATTCTTTGATAATTTGTCCATAATAGTGTTCTTTTAAATGAAGCTTATTTAATTATGCAGAGACAGTCTCTTGGGGGCAGAAAGCGAGGGATAGTTTCTAATATATGCACATGTTGGCTTGGATTATTGGCAACAGATGAAGTTGCAGTTTATTAAATTTAAAACCAGAGGACATGTTATGCAAATGCCAGGCTGCGTAGAACAGAGGAATTTGAACATGATTTTGGTTATTTGGAGAGCTCTCCAAGTATAGAGCACAGCCAACCAGAATACAAATGGAGAGCCATAATGTTGAACATTTCTAGGCCTGGTGGTAACGCTTAGCAATGGCGCTTGTGCTTAACATGGGCAGGTTCTGAGTTTAATTTCCAGTACTAAATAAATAAAAAAATAACTCCAAAAATAAACTTTTTAATGCTCTCTTTTCTTTTGCCTTTCCAAGACTTCTGTCCTATTTTTCCCCTAAGTATCCAGCTTTCTGGGAAGAGGGTGGGTCAGTGCGCAGAGCGTATAATATCTTAGGGGAGGAAATAGCAAGAATGGATCAAGACCTTCAGCTTCCTTTACGGCACTGTTGATTGCTGGTCATGGTCACAGTGCCGGGAATCTGTCTTGAGAGAGGGTTCTGGTTTACTATAGAGCTGTCTCTGCCCATCCTCACCTGGGGCAGAGGGTTCTGAACAACTACAATGTAAGGGGAACGGAGCAGCCTGCCATGGCAGATTGCTTGAAAGGCAATCTGAGAGATGTCTGAGAAAAAAGTGGAGAAGAGTTAATGTCAACCTACTGAATACCAATTTTGTGGGCTCTTTTATGTATATAAGAACATATAAGTACTTGTGTGTGCCAACTCTTTCCATATTTTAAAGCTCCATGATACAAAGTAATGCCTCTTTTCCATTTTGCATTTGAGGAAACTGGGACACTAGAGGCAATAACTCATCAGAGAGCATACACCATAGGCACCAGGCCTGAAAATGGTTGCTTGGCTTTAGCTCCAAAGGAGATCGATTAGTGCCAGTAACAAGGAAGGCAAGGGCTTCCAGCCTCTCTGCTTGAGACCCATTCAGAGTGAAGCAACAACAACTGGATATCACCCTTTCCTAACTGCAGACTTAGCTGTAGTTAACCAGTATGGTCAGAATGTTCCTGGAAGTGGGATATGGGCCAGATATGCTGCTCCAGGCACTTGGTCCACAGCTGTCTGCAGAATTCTTTTCAGAGAGCTGGAATCCATGACTTTGTCACAAGAAAGAATTTCAGTTTGGGCCAGTGAGAGGCAGAGTTGGAGTTTATTAGCAAGTTATTTCAATGTAGTCTTA